AAAAAATACAAAAAAAAAAGCCTAAACTCAAAAGTGAACTACAAACAAAAAGAAATAAAAAAAAAGACAATACAGAAAAATCAGGTATAAAAAAAATGGTATTAAAACTTGAATATTAAAATCATTTTTAGAAGTAGTAAATTAGAATATATATAATATAATAGTAGTAATTCAGTGTTTAACATTGTTTACAAGTACTAGCCACAGCCAAAATATCTTTATATTATAAACTTTAAATATAACTAGATTAACAGAATTTGTTAATATCCAGAGCAAATTGCTGGATATATCATAGTGTAGCAAATAGATCATCCAGATATTTTGATCAAAGTAAGTCTAATAGTAGAGTTATAACCAATCATAGTATAGTGAATAGATCATATGTGAGACATCTAGACATTTTGATCAAAGTAAGTCTAGTAGTAGAGTTATAGCCAATTATAGTGTAGCAAATAGATCACATGTAGGATATCCAGACATTTTGATCAAAGTAAGTTTAGTAGTAGAGTTATAGCCAATCATAGTATAGCGAATAGATTATATGTGGGACATCCAGACATTTTGATCAAAGTAAGTCTAGTAGTAGAGTTATAGCCAATTATAGTGTAGCAAATAGATCACATGTAGGATATCCAGACATTTTGATCAAAGTAAGTTTAGTAGTAGAGTTATAGCCAATTATAGTGTAGCAAATAGATCACATGTAGGATATTTAGACATTTTGATCAAAGTAAGTCTAGTAGTAGAGTTATAGCCAATCATAGTATAGCAAACAGATCACATGTAGAACATCTGGACATTTTGATCAAAGTAAGTCTAGTAGTAGAGTTATAGCCAATTATAGTATAGCGAATAGATCACATGTGGAACATCCAGACATTTTGATCAAAGTAAATCTAGTAGTAGAGTTTTAACCAATCATAGTGCAGTGAATAGATCACATGTAAGATAAGCATAAAATGTAGATCCTTCACTATGCTTCAGACAATTAGATAATTCTGACAAGACATATAGCTGCTAGCTGATGACCAAAAAGAAAAAAGTTCTTAGCAAGTTAAGAACTTGAAGGAAAGACAATAGCAACTAAAGCAGGTTATATTAGGTGAAAGCTTGATAAGCCTTTGTTTAGTTAAGTTAGATTAGCTATAGATAGAAATTTATGTAAATTTTTGAATAGTTTTAACCTCAAATAAACAGAGGAAGATTGCTGAATTACAAAAAAAATTCTAATTTTTTATATTATTAATACTAAAATTACAGATATATCAAAAAAACTACTACTTAAAATACTATTATTAATTAGATTCAATTTGCTTTACAATACAACCTCTACCTGATTATTCTTGAAGATTTTAATACATATGATTATAATTTTAATTTTTCAATAAAATATCAATTTAAAACTTTTTTACATCATTTTAATATATATGATATTGGCATATATTTTAGCAATACTCACTATATATAGTCTAACAATATTTATTCTAGTCAAATTAACTATATCTAAACTGACTAATTCAATATCTAATTTCTCTTGTTATATAAACTAGATACTAGTAATACTAGTACTCATAGTAATTATCTTATACTTAATATATCTTGAATATTTTTTAAAAATTTTAGTAAACTACCTTGTTTGCATACTAGTATTAGCTATTATATATTTAATTATAAAGCTATAACCTCAGAAAATTAATTTAAATTTTTTTCTCCTTTATTTTCAGTAGGGATAGGAATCGATTTAGTCAACTAAAAAATTTATATGTAAATTACTATGTTTAGTCGATTTAGTTGACTAAATCATATAGCCGATTCCTATCTTTAATTTTCAGGTCTATGTTTCTTCTTAATTTGCTATAATTAATCTTGTATTTGGTTCTAATATAATCTACTTTTTCTTTAAATTGTTGCTAGTTTTTATAATATCACAAATTAATTGGTGCATGCCCACAAAATCTTGCATTTTATTGGATGATAAAAGTCAAGCAGGGATGTGAATGCATATCTGGAACTTCACACGTAGCAACCTTCATACAGGTCATATGTAGCACTTTTCTTCTATTTATTGAGATCGTCTAAAGTCGGGTAGTTTTTAAGTTGATTAATAATAAATTTGTAAAGTAAAAGTCACGTGATGCATATAAATTACTACCTGGCTTTAGACCAGTGTTGGGAAGATTAATATGTCTAATTGTTTTCAAAGTTAATTGGACATATGGGCCATTAAAAGTAGAAACCAAGGAATTTGACAATTTTTTAAAAATTAATCTGTTTGATTGATTAGGTGTAAAATTTAAAGCCCGATCTTTTTTACTTCAGAATGAAAGTATGATCACTTAATAAATTTTTGCGATACTGTACAATGGTTAAAACTTTTAATACTATAATCTAAAAATAGATTTACTGAGATATACTGTGTGCAATCTACAGTTCTACAGATCTAATAATCGTGTTTAAACAGATTTGTTAATCTTGAATAAACTATTTTTGGATTTTCTACATTTTGGGGGCCCATATGTCCAAAACCAAATGTGGCACAGTTTTTTGTCCAATTTCCCAACACTGCTTTAGATGATCCAAATTTATCATTTTTTTTAACATGTTTCATAGTTAAATTCTTATATTCCTATATTCAAAGCAAAATTATATGCATAAGTGCAACTACAAATGTTGTAACAAATGATAGTAAAAGCATGAATTTTTAATATAAATATTAGTGACCCAATTCAAATTTACATATCTATTCTTAGGAACTTTAGCACTATTCATTTTGCTTTATAGGATTTTTTACTAGGTTGATACAGGACAGGACTACATTTCATAATATGATGTTAGTGCTCACAACCTAATTGATGCATGTTGTTATGGGCGGAATAGTTGTGACTCGGTCGCTCTACAATCCAAAAACTCATGTAACCTGCGGGTAGTAACCTTACGAAAGAGGTGTGTTAGATTTGGCTGGTGGGTGATTTAAGGCTTCAGTTACTCTGAGTCAGCAACGCTAGATCACGTAAACAAGGGCTTAATGAATGACAAATTATATCTTTAGGGTTCAAAAGTGTATTTGCGCAATAGTATTTTTATACAATGTTATGGGCAATGTATTTGATAACTTTGAGACTTGGTTATTAGTGAAGCAAATGAAACATCCTTTTTTTGGGGGCAATAACGCCTTTATTTATAATAAACTTTACTTAGAACTTATTATAATCAATAAATCCCGTTTACATATTTTCTTTACTAAAACCTTCAAATCTAATTAAACCTTTAAACTATAAAAAACCCTTCTACTCATGAAAGCTAATAAATTGTCTTTAGGGAATTTACCAGTTTTCTCCGTTATACCCGATTTCCCCATTATACCACTGGCAACTCTATTTTAGGCATTAGATCGTTATAACTATGAACATCATGAGTTTGGCGTAGCTCGTACTGATCACAGGTTTCGTATCTCACATTTTGCCCCGTTTAAAGACGAGTTCCACGAGCTGTTATCAATAATTTGCCTTACTTCTGTAACTCTTAAGTCTTGAATATCATAATAGGTAACTATGGCCATTCGATAGATCTGAGCCATGCCGACAATAACGAAGATATCGTAAACCCTAAGAGCAGTAATGTAATAGTGAAGCGTAACCAGTTTACGGAGTAGCCTTTTTTGCGCTGAAGTTGCTCCAGCAAAAATCATTCCCAGTTCGGCAGATCATGTGAGTCATTGTAGGGTGGCGGCATCGGGGTTATTTCAATAGGTTCAGACCGAGTGATGTTATTGACGATTTCATCCAACATGATTAAACTTCTAACTATTTCGGGTATATAAGAGTGGATGTTGCCGATTTGCGAATTTTTACTCTCTTTTCCCGCATTTTAGTACTCTTTTTATCTCTTTTTCTACCCTTCGATCTCGATCTATGATTTGGCTCCTGGCTTTTTCGCTTCATCACTTTCGTCTTTTTGGTAACTCCTTCTATCGCTTTTTTTTTTTTTTTTTTTTTTTTTTTTACACAGTGGTAAGCCCAGTAAAGGTCATTCGTTGTTTTCCCCAGGATCATATACACGAGTTTTATTCCACTGTGGTAAGTATAGGGCAAGTTTTTTCGTCAGGTTTCTAGACATGCATTGGCTGTTTCTTAACCTCTTTAGCCTTGTGCCTTCCTTTTCTTTCTTTCTAGAGCATTTCCAAATCAAGACTTCTGTGACGTATACGTTCTGGGGTCTCTTCTTCACCTAATTCCACGGACCTTCTATGACTTGACCAGGGCAGCGTTGAATGTCGGAACTCGAGGTGGTACAAATTCTTCCCTCTTATTTTCATCGAAATCACCCTTGTTCTTGCCTAAAAATACTCTAACTTTTTTCTTCCACTTTTCATTAGCTTTTTCCAAATCCTTTTCCACTATTATTCCGCTTTGGTCAAACCCACCAGGATCGAATTGTTCTTTCAAATTGCCATCTTCTGCACATTTCCAATGCCATTCCCATACTTCATTTTTTTTGGCTCAGGCTCCATTTTCGTAGCAATCTCCAACCAGGTACGTTGCATCTGCATCATCTGACTCGCCAGATCTTTGATGATAGGTGAAGGCTTTATTTTCATTTTTTTTAACTCCACCTTCGTTTCAGTAATATTCACCGATATTTGTTGTATCTTCTTCGGCCTCGGCAGGTTCATTTTCGGTAGGTTCTTCATTTTGGCTAATTTTTGCAATTGTACTAAAACAGATATAATTTGACACCTTTTTAAATCTTAAATAACTTTTAATCTACTGGACCGTTTTTAATGAAACAGCTACCAAAATGTTCTTCACATTGAGACGATTCTAACGAGCCCAAAATTGTCAAAATCCAATTATTGGTTCACAAGATCGCTAAGGTTTTTCACGAGGATAACGCACCTATAATGTGGGGTAATCGGTTAGACCGCATCTAACCAATTACCCCACATTATAGGTGCGTCATCCTCGTGAAAAACCTTAGCGATCTTGTGATCCAATGATTGGTTTTGACAATTTTGAGCTCATTAGAATCGTCTCAATGTGAAGAACATTTTGGTAGCTGTTTCATTAAAAATGGCCTAGTGGATCAAAAGTTATTTAAGATTTAAAAAGGTGTCAAATTATATCTGTTTTAGTACAATTGCAAAAATTAGCCATAATGTTTGCTTTTCTACTCCATCCGACCCTACTTCTAAATTCTTCAACTTTCTTTATCCACGATTCACAGGCGTAACCAGGTCTTTACTTTTTTTGGTAAGTTCTTCTACGTCTTCTTTTTTTTCATCATTTTCTTCATCTACAATCTTCTCATCGTCATCATCGTTATCTTCTTCATCTTCGTCAGCTTCGTTGTCATCGTCTTCATCTTCGGTTTCACCTACGATTTTTCTGATTCTCGCAGGTACGTTTTCCTCATACTTTTCTCTTTTTTCTTCTTTAGTTTCTTCCTTTTCTTCTCTTTTAACTTCAACTTCTTTTTCTTCGTCCTTTTCAACTCCAGCCTCTTCTTTTTCAACTTCGATTTCTTTCTTTTCTTTAACCTCCTTAACTTCAACTTCTTCGCAGTAAGGTCCAACTGGGTATGTTTCTTCGGCGCCTCCTATTCTAGCAACCTTTATGCGATCATTAGATAAGTCATTATTTTTTTCTTCAGCTTCTTTCTTTGTCGCCTTAATGTCACTAACTTTCTTTTTCTTGACTTCCATTTTTTTGCCTTTTTCTTTTTCGGGGGCCTATTTTTGTGCGACAGCTTCACATTCAGCGATGAGCTTTTGAAGAAGAACTTCCAATTCGGTTTCTCGTTCTTCTTTCTTAGAGCCGAAGGCAATACTTTCAAGGGGTTCTTCTGCAGATTCGTCATAGTAAGCGTCGAATTCTTCAGTTACGGTAGGTCTTGGTTGTCGAGACTTCGGGAGAACTTTTAGGACGGGGACTACAGAAGGTACTAGAGGTGGATTCAATTGGATATACGAGGGCAGATGCACAATATTATCTTCTCTTTCGTCATCGCCATTGGGGTTGTTATCCTGGCTAACATCTGTTAATATTTTAAAAAAATATTCTAGGGCTGTGGGTCATAAAGACTACGGTCTCTTATGGTTTTATCAACCATTTTCTGGACTTCCACAATTTGTTCCTGAGTAAGTGTATTCAACAACTCCAAACTTTCTAGCTGCATCATTCTTATCTTTGGGCAGCTACTAATGTCATGGTTTCCTTTTCTACAATAGGGACACCAAGTCTTTCGTTGAGGCCTTTGTCAGTTATTTTCATCATTCAGGATTCAACTTTTCTTCGATGTTGGTTACATATTGGCAAGGGGTAAATATTGTACTTTTTTTTTTTTTTTTTTTTTTCACTTGTCTTCAATCCTTTGATACGGCTTACTAACACACTAACTCTTGTACTCACTATCTCTATAATCAAAACCACGGTTGGGCCTTCTTCTTGGACCTCAAACTGGAATTCAATCACCTCAACTGTCTATGGTATGTTGGGAGAGTTAGAAACAACAATGGTAGTCCTCAGTACATCGAGAATCAACCAGACAGGGTATGATACACTTTATGTTAGTCCCGTGAGCACGAATACAAGAGTGTTGATCATACCACTTATGCCAGATGCCTCAACCCAGAATTGTACTATGTTGACTCGGGGTTGGCACTCTTCTTTTTGGGTAAGTTCTCTCTTTTTCTCTAACCT